TAAGAGATTCATTCGAATTTGTTCAACATTCCCATTACTGTCAGGGTAAAGAATATCCTTCTGAATTCCCTGTTTGCTTTCTTGGGGACTCATTTGTACTCAATTGGTTTCATTTCCTTTTATTCCAAAAATTGAAAATACTCTCACTGTCTCTCATTCTCTTTCCTGCATCTCACTCTCTTCCTAACTTTTCCATGAAAACTAACAATCACTTTCAAGTCCGCCATTAGAATAGTCGTCTTTAAAGAGGAAATGTTTCCTGCACCTTTACAACTATAATTATTGGGGCAAAATGACTAAATGAATCAAACAACCACGACCCGCCCTCCAACCCAGGTCCACTTTCAGTATGAAAGAGCTCATAGCTTTACACGGGTTGGGAGAAAGCCTCTTGACAGTTCGTGGTCTTTCCAATGAACAAAGGGTAACATATACTAATGCCGTATAGTTCCAGCAACAGTTCCCAAATATGGCCTTCGGTTGTTAAAAAGCAATTGTTCTATGAACTGATTAATCAATCAGATTAATCATGTTTCTGTGTGATCAGTCCATGGATAGCTTATGACGTTTTCCATACCTCTTTACCACTCACACTTGGGCCCTCACAATACATCGTATTCAATTACATGCCAGACAGCACTCCTTTGTTGATTAGAGGGTGGTCTCTACAATCTGTCTCAGACTGGACTTTCACAGCAATACAGTTATATCCCATAATGGCTGTATCTTTCAAACACCATTTAGATGTTCGATACGTGGCTACACTTTGTTATATTCCTTTACTATGGATGGCTCTACTTTGCCATGTCAATGTGCTCCCAAAGGTAGCTCCGGCATGGTTCTCTACACAAGCTTCTCCATCTGTTTTTGTGTAAAATTTCACAAGACCTTTTCTGTGCTATCTCATTCTAGTTACCTCGGATTTACTCTCTTCATGAAGGTATTTAGTTACTCTAGCTTATAGTTTGACTTCAAACAGCAGGCTGAGGAAACCCTTCTGAGGAAGGGTCACCGGACCTGAAACGTTAACTCTGTTTTCTCCTCCACAGATGCTGCCAGACCTGCTGAGCTTTTCCAGCAACTTTGTTTTTGTTCCTGATTTACAGCATCCGCAGTTCTTTTGGTTTTTATTGTGGAAGTTATTGTTTCAGCTAAAAATCTTCCCCAGTCATTTTGTATCAACTGAGGAATACTATCAGTCATGGGCAACTTTAACAGGAATCACGAGAGTCAAGATTTCATGGCACAGTGTACGAGAATATGTTAGAAATCAGAAAAAAGGAGGCTAGTTCAAAGGAGGGCAAATATTGCACTGAATTACAGGTCTCAATTATACCCATCTACTTAACAAACAGCATGGCATGAAATAGTTAACATGGTCAGTCGTATGAGGGAATAATTTTAAAATCAGCAAGGCATTGCCACTTATTCCTACAAGAAAGCGACTTTAAAACAGTGACTGGAGAGTTAAACATATTGACACCGGTTAATTGAGGGAAATAAAAGAAAAAGGAGGAAAATCTGGACTTGGACAATTCAGAGATTAGGAACAGAAACAGTCAGTAAGACTTATCCTACAGATTAACACGGATAATGGGACAGCTGAAGAAATTCCACTGCATATTGCAGCAGATATGTGGGAAAGTGTGAGGTTGTGCACTTCGATGGGAAAAACAGACGCTTGGATATTCTGCATATGGGGAAAAGCTTCAGAAATCCAAAGCTCAAAGGGTATAAGGGCTCCAAGTTCAGTATGCGCTGAGGTTAATATATGGGTTCATGTGGAAGTTAGGAAGGCAAATGTAATCTTAGCATTCATTGGGCTCGAATACAAGAGCAGGGATGCTGAAGCTATATAGAGCTCTGATCAGATTGCATATGGAGCAATGTAAACTGTTTTGGGCCCCATATCTAAGGAAGGAATTGCTAGCATTAGACGGGGACCAATGGATGTTCATAAAAATGGGCACGGTAATCAAGGGCTTGTCATTTGAGGAGCAGTTGAGGACTCTGCATCTGTATTTTGACTTTAGAAGAATGAAGTGGGATCGGATTGAAACTTATAAAATACTGAGAGGCCTGGACAGAGTAGATGTGGAGAAGATGTTTCCCCTAATAGGAAAGGCTAGAATCCAAGAGCAAAGCTTTAGAGTGAAGGGATGACCCTTCAGATCTTAGTTGAGGAGGAATTTCTTCACCCAGAGAGTGGTGAATCTGTGGAACTCATTGTTGCAGAAGGCTGTGGAGGCCAGGTCATGAGCGTATTTAAGACAGAGATAGGTGGGTTCTTGACTACTGGGGAGATCAAGGATTTTATACTTTGATTTAGACTTTATTGTCACGTGTACTCAACTACAGGAGTGCAGCAAAAAAATGTGCAATGTTGTTAGACACGGTGTCATCTTAGGTACTAGTGCCTAGGTGCAAAATCTTAAGAACAAAGCAGACAGAAATAAAGATCAGCCTTAAAAGTTACAGTCATTCTTAGTCTAGCATAGAAAGAAAGAAAGCTAAAAGTTAAACATTACAGACCTTACTGTTATTAAGTAGAAAAATAAATAAATAAAACAAAACATTTAAACATTAGTCATTCCAAAACGCATAGCCATGCTGGGACCACACTTCCGAGAAGGGCTCGATCTCCTCTGCTTTGGCACACTTACCCCGTACACTCTCTTCCAGGAGTCGTGCTTCAGGGCCACCACCACCTCACCACTAGGAAGAGCACACCGAGCATACCACACCATTTCCAACGCAGGGTAATATTCCAGGGAGGAACAGAATGGCTACCTCAGTGCAGAGAGTATCCAAAATTTCGTTGACACCACAAGGATGCAGTGACAAGACCGCGGATGAATGGACATTGTGTAATTCTGTAAACTCTTAAAATGGCTGTTAAAATTGCCAGTATTAACATGCATAGCATTAAATCTACTATGCGTTGTGTTTCCATTTAATTTACCTGGGTCAATGTCAAAGCAGATGCCCTGTTTCTGCTGAAGTGTGGAATAACATGCCTCAGCCACTACAGGAAATGGCCAATTTATGGGCCCACAGCCCTTTGACCTGGCCAGGGGGAAACAATTGCCATTCCTTCACCTTGGGTATTCTGCTGCGAGGAGGCAACTTCACAATTTCTGAGGTTAAGCTGATGCTGGGCAGGCACCTCCTCATAGCGGGAGTTATGTATAGAAATGCTCCCCTAAGACTAATCCACACGTATGCTTCGGTGGTAAGAGCGAGCGGCTGGCCATTCTGCAACAAATCCCACTGCTGCTGGTAATGTCCAGGCTAGTCATTCTGGCCGGAGCGTTCAACTACATCATTGATGTGGATATACAATCTGCAGTGGCTCCAGATTCCAGATGGATACGATTAAATCAGCAAACTGCACAATGTTTACTGCACACCTGCAGATGGAGCACAGTGTAGATACATCTGGCCACGACCAGATGGGTCTGTCCATTCAAGAGTGGATTTCCTGTTTGCATCCCACATTTTCTTGGTCTGATCCACTGGCATTAAGTCACTATTCTTCTCTGACCACCACCTGCTGCTGGCCAACTGCCACCTACAGGACGACCAGCGGTCTAGAAAAGGAAAGTGGAAGTTGAACGTGAAATTGTCAACCCAGAAATTATTGAGGAACCCAAAAAGGATTACACAGGTTGAAAAGTCATGAAGCCCCTCTCTCGACACTAACATACAGCCATGATTGAATGGCAGAACAGACTTGATGGGCCTCATCTGCTCCTATGCTTTGTGGAGTGAGTTCATTAAATGATATTGTGTGGTGTCGACCTGCTGGTGGGGAAAGAGAGTATGGAAACAAACTAAGCAGCATAAATCTGAGTCAACATTATTCAGACGCTGGGGTTAATAGAACGTGATGAATTTTAACATGGAAATACTTCAAATGAAATATAAAGAAAAATACAAATGTAAACAACTTGAGCAGACCACTTGATGGGGAGGTGATGGCCTAGTGATATTATCGCTGGACTTTTAATCCAGAGATCGAGGTAGTGTTCTGGGGACCTGGGTTTGAATTCCGCCAAAGCAGATTTTGGAATTTCAATTCAATAAATATCTGGAATTAAGAATCTAATGAAGACATGAATCCGCTGTCGATTACAAGGAAAATACCCATCTGGTTCACTAATGCCCTTCAGGGGAGGAAACTGCCATCCTTTCCTGGTCTGGCCTATATATATGACTCCAGACCAACAGCAATGTGTCCTTCTGGACAATTAGGGATAGACAATAAATGCTGCCTAGCCAGAGACACCGTCATGCCATTCATGAATTTAAAACAAAAACGAGAGTCACGGGCTTAGTAGGAACTGCAGGTGCTGGAGAATCTGAGATAACAAGGTGTAGAGCTGGATGAACACAGCAGGACAAGCAGCATCAGAGGAGCAGGAAGGCGGACTTTTCGAGCCTCGACCCTTCTTCAGGCTAACAGTGTTAAAACGCCTGCGCGAGAGCAGAAAGCGGCAGAATTTCGACGCGCATGCGGGGGACGGGCCGGGTTTTATTTCCAATGCGTCTGCGCAGTGTCGGGCACGGGAGGTAGAAGCAAATGCGTCTGCGCGGTGTTGAACATTGGCGAAGAAGTGCCTTCAGTGACGTTATTCACGGTCGGTGGGGACCGAGCGCGGCTCCTTGAGGGAAAAGAGAGCGAGAGAGAATAAAGATTGAGCTTGTCACAGACCCAAGGCTGGTACCACCGGCAGAGCAAGAAACAATCCCTTCGGTCTAGGTCGGCTATGTATGCTAAGTGGAAATAAACACCTTCTCGTGTCTGTGCGCACGCGCAGTCTTTGATGGGGGGGAAGGCCGAGGATCCAGGCCTCAGGGCCATTCGGAAATGGGCCCCTCTCTCACTGCACATGTGACCTGCGTCACCGCCAAGGGAGCGGGCTGCTCTGCACCGATTGGTAGACCGAACTGCCTGTTTGTTTCCTCTCCACCTATCCTCTCCTCTATCCCTCTTCTATCCGCCTCCCACTCTCTCCCTGTTTATTTCAAAACCCCTTTCCCCTCCCCCTTTTCTGATGAAGGGTCTAGGCCCGAAACGTCAGCCTCTCTGCTCCTATGATGCTGCTTGGCCTGCCGTGTTCATCCAGCCCTGCACCTTGTTGTCTCGGATTCTCCAGCATCTGCAGTTCCTACTATCTCTGACCGAACTGTCAGACAGTTTTCCGCTTGTGGACCCCGCAGCCCTCCACGTGCAATATAGAGTTCAGTAATTTTCGGGCCTAAACTCTCCCATGTCCTAATCCCTACCCCAACCACCAAGCCTTGTTATCACAAAGCCTCCCATTACACACTAACTATTGTTAGTCACTAACAGTCCCCTTTAACAACTATTCACCCTCCTAGCCAGATCGTTACAAACACCTTTGTCTATTCAACTGCTCTTCTTTCCCTTCGTGCTCCATTTTTTATCCTAGCGTTTACTCACTACCACACCCCTCTCCCTAATTTCTGTATACAAACCGACTTTTTTTTTCCCACTACCATCGGTTCTGAAGAAGGGCCACTGGACCCGAAACGTTAACTCTTGTTTTCTCCTTCACAGATGCTGCCAGACCCAATGGAACTTTCTTGTTTCTCCATCTCTGGGTCTTGATGATTCTTCCCATGCGTACCCCTCAGTCTACTGCTGCCGGACTTTCCTGCCGACCAGGATATGTTTGATTGTCAGAGTTAAACAGTGTTGTGAATGTAAGGTGAAGCCAAATAGCTCAGGCAACATGAAACCAGGTGAAGGCTGCCCCTGCTGGTAAGAAATAGAAGCCTTCACTTGTGCTGTAACCCCAGTGCACCTTTTTGATGAGCTTCAAATGCAAAGTGAAAATAAAATTTTCTTTAACCCAATCATGACAGAGTGTTGTTATAATGGTGATTGAAGTTCTCCTAGTGCAATGGCTTGTTCTAAACTTTTTAAGAAGATAATTACAAACCTGTTAAATGAGAAGCTGGCAGGAGTCCAAATGGACAAATCGATAATGCCAGTGGTTAAATAGAAAATTAACTTATAAATGTTAGTGAGGGCCAATATTGAAAACGGAAAATGAAAACTGAATATATGATATAACATCCCATTGATGAGCATCACCAATAGATCTGCTGTTGCCATGGCCACCAAGGCCATGAGATATACTTGGAAAGGCCACAGATTCCCTTGGAAAGAACTACAACTATCATCAAGTTGGCTGTTTTTAAAAAATAGAGAAACGCAATTATGCAAATATCTTGTTAAAAGTATCTATTCATAAACGTTAAATGGATACTAACAACAATAAATTGGAAATATTCACTAGTACTAGCAAAGGTAGTGAGAATTGGGTAGTAAATTGTTTGTATCAATAGAATAACTAGCTGTCCTATTTTCAGGAGAGCATAATTCTTTTTTAGCTCTATTACACTTGTTGATGCATGAATGGGACGATGGAGAAACCTGTATTATAGATGTTTCAATCCTTCAGAGAGTTGATCATTTAAAATTAGATATATAATCTAAAAGTAGATGATATGATTATGCAACACGTGGACTTAAGTTGTTATATTTAATATATCTGTCTGTAGAAGGCAATATTAAAACAGTGTTTATACAGAACATTAAATCACCCTGCGCTGTGGCTAAACCTGTCCCTATAGGACTCTTGACAACAGCTAAGTCGAGCCTAATCATTACAACCTGGAGACCCACATTCTACGTGAGGTGACAGTTTCAGACGAGTCAGTGATGTAAATCCTACCAAATGCCTCACTAACCCAATCGCACAAAACAAATGATGACTGAGGTCCTCTACTTAGTAATATGCTACACTTAAACTTGAGCTGACCAAGTCAGGCTCTCAGCAATTTATACTTGCAATAGGGATCAGAGTATCCCTCCAGTACAAGTGGCATTTGAACTCATGTTAGATCTAAGCATTCTGCTGTTGTCCCACTGCTGGTATAAATCACATCTGACATTGCTAATTCCATTCTACTGGTGCAACACAATTATTGAAGGTTACCATTCTCAGTTAGTGCTAGCAACTTCCTACGCTATCAGTAGATGTGACTGCATTTCTTGGATATGAGGAGAACAAGCTCATTAACACGAAATGTTGTAATATGAGCTGATTAGTGCTGGTGCCCTGTGGATAGACGACAGAGAACCGTGCTGGTCCGCTACTATTGTCCTACAAGAGATATCTGACTGTGGTTCCCTGGTAATAGTTGTACAATGACTCAAAGACCAATGTATTGATAGCAGTGATATAGCTACACATACATGAGGCATCAAAATACTTCTTTGATTTAATAATTCCTGACATTTACACTTAAACTTTGAGTGCTTCATCATGGACAGTCACATTAATTACTTTCAAAGTAGCTGAATGTATTTCTGTGGCACAAATTTGCCCTTAACCTGTGGATCCAAGCTGACTTCCACAACAATTGATGGTTGCTTCTTCGGTAGTCCTTGGATTTATAAATAGTGGCATAGAGTATAAAAGCAAGGAAGTGACACATTTCATTCTGTTGGCATATTTGTTTATTTTTATTGTTGCTGTTTGTTTTTAAATAGATGCTTTCCTTATCTATTAGACACAGCTTAGGTTCTGGGAAACTACGTTTCAGTGTTGTTGCTCATAATTCCAAGAAACCTGCAGAAATCTGAGGTAGCGACACTACTACTGCCCCACAAGAGCTCCCAGTGGCTCTGTTATACTGTGGAAGATTACCAGCACCGGCTGCTCTAATAATGTGACGCGATAAACTTCTTGTACCGAATATCATTCCACCAGATTACAAAGGGCTAAAAAAAATGCGAAGTGTACTTGAGCTTCTAAGCTGACAGCAGACAAATCAGAGTTACAGTGGGCTGTAGAATGAAAATGTGACACGATTTGGATGTTAATCCCATGCTTCCTGAATGAACAGAAGTACACAGACATGTGAACACCAAATTGATGTTATGTTCCACAATTCTCAGCAGGTGGATTATTGAACAGTGCATACAGTCCATCAACATTTATAAGAGGTTCAACTGATTTGATGAATTTGATAGACAGGATTTACATATATTTGGAAAGGCGAGGACTGATTAGGGATAATCAACCTGGCTTTGTGCATGGGAAATTATGTCTCATCAACCTGATTGAGGTTTTTGAAGACGTAATGAAGAGGATTGCTGAGGCCAGAGCATTTGACGTGATCTATACGGACTTCAGTAAGGCGTTCGACAAGACTCCTCATGTGAGATTGGTTAGCAAGGTTAGATCACATGGAATACAGGGAGAACTATCTATTTGGATACAGATCCGGCTCGAAGGTAGGAGGCAGATGTGATGGTGGAGGGTTGCTTTTCAGACTGGAGGCCTGTGATTAGCTATGTGCCACAAGGATTGGTACTGGGTCATTTTTGTCATTTATATGAACGAATTAAATCTGATCATGAACGTATGGTTAGTAAGTTTGCAGACGACACTAAAGTTGCAGGTGTACTGGACAGCAGAGAAGGTTACCTCAGAATACAACAGGATCTTAATTAGATGGGCCAATGGCCCAGGAATTTGCGGATAGAGTTGAATTTATATAAATGTGAGGTGCTGCATTTTGGAAAGGCAAATCAGAGCAGGACTTATACATTTAATGGTAAGGTCCTGGGAGTGTTCCTCAATAAAAAAAAGAATTTTGACTGCAAGTTCAAAGTTCCTTGAAGATAGAGTTGCACATGGATAGGATATTGAAAGCGGCATTCGGTATGCTTGCCTTTATAGGTCAGTGCATTGAGTATAGGAGTTGGGAGGTCATGTTGCAACTGTACAGGATATTGGTTAGGCCACTGTTGGGATACTTTGTGCAGTTCTGGTCTCCATGCTATAGGAAGGATGATGTGAAACTTGAAAGGCTTCAAAAAAGATATACAATGATGTTTCCAGGGTTGGAGGGTTGAGTTACAGGGAGAGGTTTAATATACTGGGGTTATTTTCCCTGGAGCGGTGGAGGCTGAGGGGTGACCTTACAGAGGTTTATAAAATCATGAGGGGCATAGATAGGGTAAATAGACAAGGTGTTTCCCCAGGTGGGGGAGTCCAAAACTAGAGGGTATAGGTGTAGGGTGAGAGGGGAAAAATTTAATAGGGACTTAAGGGGCAACGTTATTACTGCAGAGGGTGGTGCGTGTATGGAATGAGCTGCCAGAGGAAGTGGTGGTGGTGGATGGGGGTGGGGGTGGTGGAGGGTGCTGGTATAATTACAACATTTACAAAGTATCTGGCTGAGTATATGAGTAGGAAGGGTTAAGAGGAATATGGGCCAAATGCTGGCAGATGGGACTAGATTTTTCACGATTTCTGTTTGGGATAGATGAGTTGGATGGAAAGGTCTGTTTACACACTGTATATCTCTATGACTGTCAGAACACTTTGGGGTCCAGGGATTGAGCAAGGCTATGAAGAAAGGGTTAGTTTCTTATCTCTTCCTTTGACACACAGGTTATTCCAGTCTCTGGTATGAGTCCCTAAATGTAGTTACGTAAAGGGACTGATTCAAATGATCATACCCCACACTGCAGACCAAATTATTAGAAAATAATTTATTCACTCTCCTTCATTCTGTTATTACAGTTAAATCATTCGATGTACAAATCGACTTCAATCTTTTCAGTCCTTTCTCCGAAAATTGATTGTGTAACAACCTGAAAAATAAATCACAATAAGTACCAATAAGCAGCAGCTTTTGAGATTGATGATGGGTAACAATATCACGTACTTTTAAGAGTTTGTTTTTATTGCACTTTTAAAAGATATTGCATTTAACTATGACAGACAGACACCACTGGCCAGTATACAGCAATTAAAATTTCCTAATTGTGATGTAGAATCATACAGCACAGAAACTAATCCACGCTGAACTGATATCCCAATCTGACCTGGTTCCATTTTGCAGGGTGACTATTTGTGAGAGAGTTCCAGGGGACTGACCACCTGCCAGCGAAGGAGCAGAAATTAATTTTAAGCCAATATGCTCTGTGTCTTGGTGCAAAACTGTTAGAGTTGGCAGAGATGTCTGAGAAAATTATCTAGGCCTGTATGTTAGGCCTCAAAAACACCTGTTGTCCTTCAGTAACTGTCGTCAGAGGTGGTACATTTCCTAAAAATCATCTTGTCTGTGTTTGTTCTGCAAATCAATGCAAATAAGTTACAGAAGGAGACCATAGAAGGAGAACATTTAAATAACAAACTCATTTGATTTCTTTCATTTGTGTGCTATTCAGAATGAAGTGGGACAGTGTATGAATAGATTTATCTGTCTGCCTGTTAGCATGATCACCATTGAGATCATCGTTGCTGATGTCCAGCTTTAACAGCACAGTCTTTTCACAGAGAGCAGAGATTAGGTTTTCCAATGAGATTGTTGGATTTTAAACTGCATTGACTCTATTTTATATATATGTCTAATGTGTGTCTGTGTGTGGGTGTGTAGAGGTAACAGAACACACCTACAGAAAGGCAAAGGTCACAAGAAATGCCAACTTGCAGACAGTCACATTGAAATTCCAAGTTAATTGTAACAGTTATTTTATGTGCAGTCCTTATATCTAAATTATTCCAGAACAATATAAATGGAAGAATAATGTTTGCTGATAATTATTAACATGGAATTTAAAATTTGTGTGGATAAGTAACTTCTGTTGTTTGGTATTTTAAACATCATTACTTACGACAATGTCTGTATTTTGCAATGTTCCTTCTTCAGAATGGCACAGAGATATTCCGCTCCTAAATCACTCAGTTTATTCATGTTGAGACTAATAAAGAATAAAAAAAGATATCACAGGGAGAAATGAGTAAGATTGGAAATGTTTATTGGTCTGTTTTGTTCCTGATGGTCTGGACAAACATGACATAAAGACATATTATGCAATTGACATTTTGTTGTCTGGCTTGTATCTAGTTGTTTTGATATGAGTACATTACAGACCCTCAAAGACCACAGATTGTTAATCTGAGTGTAATTCAACACGTCTGGAGCTAGAACTTGCCATATTTTATAATAAATGAGATGCATAATGAGTTACAAAATAAGACAGCTGAACGAATTTATTGACATTGAAACCTCAGAAGAATCTTCAAAACTGATGGGAAAGTAAGAGAGAATAGCAGGCGATCCTGATTTGTTGCTTATGGTATTAGGCATTTTATTAGGAATCCTGATTCTCTGCAAACGTGTTAATTACCAAAAGTTTAGTGTTCAGGAAGAAAGAATTCTAGGAAGCAATTTCTACTAGTTGCAAATTCTAAAAGTAGAGACATAGTCTGAGAATTAGGGCCAGACCATTCAGGCGAGATGTTAGGAAACACTTTTACACACAAAGGGTGGTAGATGTTGGGAACTCTCTTCCACAAAAAGCAGCAGATGTTACATCAGTTTCTTTTTTTAAATCTGAAATTGATCAATTTTTGTTGAGCAATTATATTATCGATTAAGGGCCAAGGTAGGTGTATGGAGTTAGGCCGGCCACAGATCAACCATTGAATGGCCCAGGTCTGTTCCTATGACTGTTCAAACGTGACCAAAGCAATCAGTGTCTATTCATGCCATTGGATACTATTTTCTAATCATGAAGTTTGTGGAGTAAACTATGTCACAAATAACCCTCAAACTATTCTCATCCCATTTCCAGGAAAATGGCCATAACATTGTACACCTTGACATCACTTCCGTACATCTTCCAAATACTGTTTATTTTCAGCCTCTTGAACTCTTAAATATGATTCGTGTGTCTGAGGGAAGACTATTTCAGTAACTACATTAACGAATCAGATGGTATTTTAAGGGTGTCTCAGATTCGGATGTGGTAGTGTTAAAATCTGTTTATTGACGGACACTCGCACGAGGTGCTGTTATACTGATGGTTTGTTTCTGTGTACTGCTTTCATGCTATCATGTTTCCATGAATGGTATGACAAAACCCTCTCCTTGATTAATCTAACAGAGGCCATTTATAGCTATTACCCCAGAGACTGCTCCAACACATGATAATTTAATTAAACAAATGTGTTGCATTACCTGAGTATTTCACATTTATGCAGCACTTGTTCGAGCTGGTGGATGCCCTCATCATCTATATCACAACTGTCTAGATCCAGCTTCTCAATCTCCTGAACTATCATTAATGTTTTAGATAGAATCATACAGTCAAACGTTTTAAGAGGGCACTTTGTGAATCTTATTGTCTTCATTGGAGTTAAGACATCTTCCATCAGTGCTGCATCTCCAAATTCAAGAAGACAGTACAATATTTCGAGCAGTTTTCTTTGATTTCTGTCACTTTCCAAGTTCTGCACACAACTGTTGAATTTTTCTTTCAGCCAGTCTGATACATTTGAGGCTGTTTCAGAAGGTTGTTCGTCCCAATAAAACCCAATCTGTTCAATTAAATTTGGTGATGACAGTCCAATGAAAAAACGCGAAACAAACTTAAATCTGTCGTCATTGCAGTTGTACCACTCAGTAAGTGTTTTTTTCACTTGGTCTACTGTTGTACTTTGACTTTTAAAAAGTGCAGCTACAAAATCCTTCAAAATGGCGTGAGTGAACACGTAGCCAACATCATTATTGTCTTGAATTTCCATCATAAACGCAGAGATCCAATTAGAAAAGGGGAGCTTGTGCTGTTTGAATTGGCCTACTTTAAACACAATGGTTTTGTTGCAAACTCCCCAGTAGGCTAAACTACCCAATCTCAGAAGCATAAAATGAGTAATGACATCCTCATAATAACATTTCCTCAAAGGACAAGTGACAAAAGTGAGGAGCATCCTTGTATTAGTTGTGGCTACTGGCATCGGGGCTCTTTGATTCTGCTGTACTTCCAGCATCGAACACAGAACAGAACAAAAGCGAGGATTATGGCACATTGTGTAAAACATCTCATCATGCTCAATATAATTTAGAACATCCAAAGCAAACTGTTCAGCTGCAAGGCAGCATTGAAAATATTGTTTCATTGTGTCTGCACTGAACCCCAGGATATCAAGAGCTCGATTTGATCCAACGTTTGCAAAAGTCTGTAGTTTCCATGGGGAACTTGTCGCCAACACTGAGCAGCCTTTCAGCAATCGCCCTTTTAAAAGACAACACACAATGTGGGATATATTACAGAAATGTTCAGGCCCTAAATATTGATATTCATGATCATTGTCACTTGCCAAATTGGTGAAATCGGTGGTCTGGAAAAGATCCAAGTCATCGAATATGAACAATATTTTCTCTGGTTCTTTCCACAAAAGTTCTAAGCAGTTTTCAAAACGAGGAAAGAAATATAGTATCAGTTCGTTTAAGCATGTTTCACCATCTATAGAATTCAATTGCTGAACTTCAAATGGAAAGATGGCATGAATTTCTTGGTACATTTTGCCTGCTGCCCAACCATGTATTATTTTCCGTATTGTGGTACTTTTTCCAAAACCTGAGGGTCCAATGATGAGAGTTGTCCTAGAGACTACTGTCTGATTGCAATGTTTTCTCAATAAACAATCTAACGGTATTTCTTCCGGATGATTTTGCTCAGTTTTCCTCCAGAATTCTTCACCTGCCATACTCCTTATCTTCAGTGCATGGTCTATTTGTTCCTGCTCATCCAATGAAGCAATAATTGTTACTTTGGTGTATCTTTCACTCAGTGGACATCTCCAAATTCTTCTGTTCTCTCCTGTGATTGTTATGTTCTCGTTCATTTTGTGAAGGTAAAGTCTGTGCTGCTGTTTTATATCTTTAATTAAAATATTCAACAAGTTTACCATTACCATTCATATGAGCATTATTTAACAGAGCAATACTATGAACGAAATGCCAACTAATAAACTACAGAAATGTCATACATAAAGAGACACACTGCAATTACTTTTGTACCTATATTTGTTATTGTGAAACTAGTGTTGCATTGACCATATGATTTATTCCAGTTGTGTCATAGAAGCCTGGTGAAACGTAATGTAGTAGTAATCTTACTGGGCTAATAACCCAGAACCCCAGTCAGTAATTGCTGGGCTTATCCTTACAAACATTTTTTGAAACAAGTCTGTAAAGTCTATGATTGTCCAGTCTTCTGGTACTTGCTACAGCTCAACGAAGACTGAAAAAAATATGGCCAGTGCCGTATTTTCACTCTCATTTCCATGCCTTGGATGCATTTCACCAGGTCGTGGTGCCTTGTGAACTTTAACAATAACTAGTACGTTCAACCCTCTTTCCTCATCAAATTTAAATACCTCCCGTGACAACGTTTCTCGTCTTCATCACCTTCCTTAGAAATTCTGCAGAAGTTATGAATAGGCGAATTTTCTATTATATGCTCTTTCTCCCAGTTAGTTATTTCCCTTCGGCTAACTAACTTGGCAATGTATTTATTCCCAAAGATTTTAACATTCTGCAAATCCTCTCATCATAAACTATCCATGCTATGTTCGCACCCTGAGTTGGTTTTACATCAAGAATTATCTGCATCTGAATATTTATTTAATGCAATACAAAGCCAGTTTGTACATCTCTCTGCAAGGGAAAGAAAAATACCGCTTCATAGAATAAAACAGCCATGGACGACTAAGAAGAAAGGGGACCACCTAAAACTAAGAGAAATGGCTTCCAAAAATGCAAAAAAAAAAAAAAAAAAGCATAGATCCTGCCAAATTGGACATATGCAAAGACCAGCAAATGACCACGAAGCATTTTTCAAGAGTTGCTAAAAGGGATTATGAAAGGAAGCTTTCCAGGGATATCAAAATGATTAAGAAATTGTGATACACTGGAAGGCGGGTAGTCAGGAGCAGTATTGGTCAACTGAAGACTGGACGTGGGAATATTCTCAGTTTACAGGTGAAGAGGAGGATAACTTGTTGGAAGCCCTGCGGAAATTAATTGTGTATCAGGAACAGGGACTCAAAAAAAAACTAATATAAAACATATGTAATGAGGAAATTAATAGAATTAAAGAATCACAAATTGTCAGGACCTGGCGGTTTATGTCCGACGATGTTAGAGAAAATAGGGGAGTACGTTGTAAACACTCTAACTATAAACTTTCAGAATTCCCTTGATGTGGAAAACAGTCCTCTGGACTGGAAAATTGTACATGTCACTGTATTTGTCAAGAAGAGTGAAAGAGGAAAAAACAGGGAATTACAGAGCAGTTAACCTAAAATCTGTGGTGTGGAAAATGTCAGAGTCTATTTTAAATGATGCAGGAATGGAACACCACAAAATTTTCTGTTAATCAGGGATTGCCAGCATGGATCCATGACTGGTAGGACATAGATCATTTAACTTTTCTTTTGGCAATAATTTTTATTTAATTCAAAATATACTTCATTTATTAAAATATCATTATATACATATGTAGTAACTAAAGCAGTTCAGTTCTGCAAATAGCACATGGAGAAACAAACAAGCATTGGAGTTTGCCTCTATCCAACAACAAAGGGATTTCTTTCTTCAACAAGACTATACTTGCATACATTCGAGCCACCAGGGACGGTCAGATAACTGAACAGACCCCATAAACGTCGGCTAAAGCACCTCAGACCGTGGCCTTTCCCTATTGCACCTAGATGGCAGCTTCCCCAAGGCTTAGTGCATCCCTCAGTTATGTAGCCCTGGACTTTGAAATGTGACAGTCTGCAACACTCAGTCAGGGCCAACTTCTTGCTCCAGAAGACAAACAAGCTTCGAGCAAACCAAAAAGCATCTTTCACCAAGTTGATGGTCCTCCAGGTAAAGTCGATGTTTGTCTCAGAATGCATCCATTTTTTTTCACAGGAAATACTGAGACAAAGTATTCAACAGGCCAGCCATAGTCATTGACAATGTCCCCCCTTTCAGTCTTCAATGGGCCAATATTGTTCCTGACCTTGCTTTATGTAACAATGACACTTCACATTCATTTTGATCTCCCTGGAAAGTTTCATTTTATCAAGCTTTTTAGTAGCTCTTATCAGCTGCTTCGGGGCTGTTTTCTGGTAATTGTATCTTCTCCCAGTCATTGCAACCTGGGCTTTTTTTTTGCATGTGCAGCTTACATTTAAAATTGATGGCTCATCAGATATTTTTCTTTCCTGTATTGATTCTCTGATTAGTAAGTGAAGAACGAACTCGAAGGAATTGAATTGCAAACTATATAACTTCATGCAGTTATTGCTTATACTTATCGAAAATTAGTCATCGCATGACAATTCATTTAGTTTAATGTATTAAAGCATTCAGGTTTCAATGGTTTCTGGAGCATTTGTAAGCAATAGAAACAGCAATTATTTTTATTTTGCCTCATACTTCCAACACACTAACCACACTACATATTTGAGAAAATAATCCGCTGACTGCCATTTTATTTTAAAACATTCTATTGAGTGTTGATTTTTTTTTGCATGTCAAGAAAATGTTCAGCAATTTCTATTTTGACACTTACCTTCCAGAATACTTTTTACGCCTGTATTCAATTCACTCAAAGGCATTTCAGTTCTTACTTCAGAAGCTGTTAACATACATGAATGCAAAATTACTTTCAGTCTGAATAATTGCACAAACCATAAATCTACAACATCAAAGATAAATCACATTCTCAACAGGTTCAATGGCTGTTCCGAGGTTCCAACACGCAACTGAGTCAGGGAACATCAGTCTGCATTTTGGCTGCCACACTTGTATTTCTTCTTGTTCTCACAGGACTGTAAACTCTATTCGTGAAATATGAAACTTTGAAAAAGTGCTTATATAGTATAAACATGGGAAATTGGTTACGGTACTGAACTTTATTTTATCCTGAGCTCATTTCAGGTTTGAAAGTGAGGGATGAACTCAAAGGAATTGAATGGCAGACTATGTTCCTGGAATTATGAATATATATTGAAAATTAATGACCAGGTGTAAATAGATCAAGTTAACAATTTGTAACAAATTTCTTGTTTCAATTATTCACTGAAGCAATTGTAAACAATAAGCCCTCCTATGACCTTTTACTTTTGCCTTACGATTTGAACGCACTCATAACATTGTATTTTTGAACAACGTTCTCTGCTGACTATTCTTTTTGTCTTAAAAACAATCTTCATATTCAGTAAAAGAGGTTGATTTTTCTGAATGCTGAGAAGGTGCTTAGTATTTTATAAACTTACTTTTCAGAGTATTTTCTATGCATGTATTCGAATCACTCAAAGATTACTCATTTCTTACTTTGTCCACAATATCTGTTACCTTGATACTTTTGCACACACTATATTTATTTATCAAATTCATCGTTCAGCACTAAAAAGTGAACATGTAACTAAATAAAGACTGTCTTATCTGTTTGCATACATAACATTCTGCTGCTTTAAAATATAGATGTAGACACCCTGTTTCATACAGTCGAATCTTTGCATACTGCGGTGAATAAAATACATCGATGCATCTGTACTTTTTAGAATTATGACATGACCCTGCGCACATTTTGTTTTTGGCTTCCGATATCAAAGTCATGTCTGCCGGAAATATTAACTCTGACTCCTCTCCACAAATGCTGCCAGACCTTCTGAGCATTGCTAGAAATTTCTATTTTATTTCTTCAAATCTTCTCCCTGACTTAGTGACCACCTGATCCATCTAATCAAATGAAAGCGTGACATAAGCAGTTAGCTCAGGTGGATTGGTGACCAGTTAGTGATGCCACATGAAATTCTTCCAGTAACTCAGGTTACCATTGCAGGGCTCTCTTTCTAAACTGAAAAAAACTGAGGCAAAGTAATTTCAACAAGTCTTCCTTTCCACCACAGTCATTGTAAATAACGTACATCCAGTCTTCAATGAACAATCATTGTTCCTCACCTTGGTTTATGTAACTATAAAATTTCTCATTATTTTCATGTCCCTGGCAATATCCCTTTCATAATCTCTTTTAGCAGCTCCTATAAACTAATTCGTGGCTGTTTGCTGAACTTTTCATCTTTTCCCAGTCATCAGGATCTATGATATTTTTGCATATGTAGAATAAACATTTGGACATGATTTATGTCATGACATTTTTTCCTTCTCTCATTCTTTCGTTAGAAAATGAAAATAAACTAAAAGGAATTGAATTACAAACTATATACGTTCCTGCAGTCATTGCTCACGTTTATCCAAAATTAGTCATCCTACCTCAGTAGATTTAGTTAATAGTACCTTTAGTTAACAATATCGTAAAAGTTTCAATAGTTTCTGAAATATTTGTAAGCAATATATTCAGCCAGTATTTTTATTTTGCCTTACAATCCAATTAACCTTTTGCAGAAAATAATGTGCTGACAGATGTCTTAGTATTTTTTTTAAGAAATCCTCTGATTGGAGTCTTTTTTTTTTGGAATATTGAGAAGATGTTCAGCAATTTATATACCTTCCAGACTACTTTTTACGCCAGTATTCAGATCACTCAAAGGTGTTTCAGTTCTTACCTCGAATCCTGTTAACATATATGTTTGCAAAATTACTTACAGTCTGAAGAATTGCACAAATCATAAAATTGCAGCTTCAAAGCTAAATGACATTCTCAACAGGCTCAATGGCCTAAACCTGTTCCTAGGTTCCAGCACTCAACTGAGACAGGGAGTGTCAGTCTGCATGTTGGCTACCACACTTGTATTTCTTCTCCTCAAAGGACTGTGAATTGCATTTGTGATGTATGAAACTTTGAAATGAAGTACTAATGCAGTATAAAAATGTGAAATTGCTTGCCGTTCTGAACTTTATTTATCCTGAATTCATTCTCTAGTTTGAAGGGGAAGAATGAACTCAAAGGAATTGAATTGCAGACTATTCATATTATTGCAACTATGAATATGTTCATTGAAAACTATGACCACAAATCAGTGGATCTAGTTAACCGTTTGTTACAAACGTATTATTTTAATTCTTTATTGAAGCATTTGTAAACAATAGGCCCAGCTCGTAATTCTTCCTTTTTCCTTATGATTCAAGCACGCCCGTCACATTGGTTTTTTGAACAACACTCTGTGCTGACTGTTTTTCTTAAAAAAGGGTTATTCAGAAAAAGGGTTTATTTTTTTCTGAACCTTGAGAAGGTATTAAGTAATTTGTTATTATATACCTAATTTTCAGATTATCTTCTATCTATGTATTCAAATCACACAAAGGTGATTTATTTCTTTTTTTTCTGCAATAATTGGTGCCGTGAAAGTTTTTCACACATTGTATTTAGATGTCATTTCATCGTCCAGAATTAAAAGATGAACATCTCACTTAATAAATACTGTCAAATCTATTTGCATGCATAATATTCTGCTGCCTATAAAATAAACATGTATTCACCCTGTTTCATACATCCGCATCATTTCACATTGCTGAGATAAGAACACAATGGTTCATCGTTACTTTTTAGAATTCTAACATGACCATGCACTCCTTTTATTCTATGCTTAAGTTATCAATGTCCTGTGTTTGTTCAGTTTTGAGGAAGGGTCAGTCAACAGGAAACGTTAACTCTGATTTCTCTCCACAGATGCTATGAGACCTCCTGAGCTTTGCTAGCAATTTCTGATTTATTTCATCAAATCTTATCCATGACTTTGTGACGACATGATCTATCAATCAACTGGATGTGTGATGTAAATTGACAGCTCAAGTGGCTTGGCAACCAATTCTTCAACCAACTCAGCCTACCATTGAAAGGCTCTCTTTCTCAGACTCTCATTTTGCTTGAGATATAACGATCCTCTGGTCAGACTACGACCAGGCAATGCTCTCAACTGAAAGAGCAGGACTGTGGCTATTTTATCTTACCCACAGATTTCTTGGTCTCTGTAAAACTGTCAAAATCCAGTCACTTATTGATAATACCACCATCCTTCAAGGCATCCCTTATAGATGATCTCACACCATTCAGGCTATGCTACATTTGGCACTGTTCCATTGAAAAAAAAAGTATCGTTAGTTTATACCGAGTGAGAATTTTTTTTTTTTGTCTGGTTGAGCCACTTCAATTTTCAACACAATTTTCAAATTACTCAATTCAGTCCAGCACTTTCGACATTACGTAGACAACTTAAAAATAATGGGAATAAAAACTGACTGCCATGGAACCCAACAGTAAGTTGTATTTTGTGAAATAAACAGTCAATATTTGTTATACTTCCTCTCCTGTCAGTGAGATAATTTTTGATCTTTTCTGTCACGTTGTTTATATCCTCTGTATTTGACATTTGACGACCTGATGCTGGATCAGACCAAAACAAAGCTTTACTCAAATTTATATGCAATGTATAAAATGAAGTATCGTCAATGAGCCTTTCTCACATGGCGTTAGAAACGGAAATAAACTGATACTTCCGTCCAACTTGTTTCACAAATTAAACCAATCCTATTTGCCTGCGTTTGACCCAAAACTCTCTGAACATTCCCTGTTCATACACCTCTCCAAATGTGTTGTTAAATTCTGCAATTGTGCCTACTTCTACAGTTTGGCCAATCTTTGACTTTATAATGATAAAAGGTGGGAAGGAGATCATTAATATTTCACAAAATAGCACTTTCAACTGTGAATACTGAGGCAACGTATTTTAAACAGATCTGTTTATTATTTTTTTCTGAGCATTGAGAAGTCATTTAATAATTTATAATTGTACATTTACCTTTTAGATGATTTTCTAAGTATGTATTCGAATCGCTCATACATGATTCATTTCTTACTTTTTCCACAATATCCGGTGCCTTGATAGTTTTGCAAATACTGGATTCATTATCAATTCATCGTCCAGTATTATAAAGGGAACATCTCACTGAAAAAGGACTGTTCTATCTGTTGGCATGCATAATATTCTGCTGACTGTAAAATATACATTTACTCACCCTGTCTCATACAGTCCTTCCTTCAAAATTGCGGAAAATAGAACACATGACCTTGCACCTCTTTTGGTCTTTGCTTCAGATATCAAAGTCATGCACTCGTTCAGTTCTGAGAAAGGACCACTCAACCTGAAACTATAGCTCTGATTACTATCTAGAAATGCAGCCTGACCTGCTAAGCTTTTCCAGCAATTTCTGTTCTCGTTTTTCATTTTTTCTCCATGAATTTCTGACCACCTGATATATCTATCAAATCAATGTGCAATATAACGAGTTACCTCAGGTGAATTGGTGACCAGTTAATGATTCTACTATTCAATTCTTCCACCAGTGCAGAATATGTCAGAGTCATGGAGTCATACAGCACAGAAACAGATACTTCCATCCAACTTGTTTCACAAATTAAATCAGTCCTATTCGCATGCGTTTGACCCAAAACCCTCTGAACATTTCCCATTCATACACCTCTCCAAATGTGTTTTAAATTTTGTAATGTGCCTGCTTCTGTAGTTTGATCTGTCTTTGACTTAATAATGATAAAACGTGGGAAGGAGATCATTAATATTTCACAAATTGACACTTTCGACTATGAATAGTTAGGCAAAGTAATTTCCACAGGTCTGCATTTTCCCCATAGACATCGAAAATGCCTCACTTTCAGGCTTTAATGAGTCATCATTGCTTCTGACCTTGCTTGATATAACTTTAAAACTTCTTATCAATTTGATATCCCTGGCAAGTTTCCTTTCATAATCCCCCTTAACAGCTCTTATAAGCTATTTTGTGACTGTTTGCTGGTCGTTGTATCTTTTACCAATCATCAGCATCTATGCGATCTTTGCATATGTAACCTAAACGTATGAAATTGATTTCCTCTTTTGAAATTCTATTTTCTGCTCTCATTCTCTGGTTAGAAAGTGGTGAATGAGCTCAAAGGAATTGAATTACAGACTAGATATCTCCCTGCAGTCATCACTCACATTTCTCCAAAATTAGTCATCCCACCTCAATAGATTTAGTGAACCATATCTTAAAAGGTTTTGGTTTCAAATGTTTCTGAAACACTTGTAAGGATCAAATTCTGTAATTATGTATATTTTGCCTCACAATTCCAGCACACCAACAACGTTTTTTTCTTTCGCAGAAAGTAACGTGCTGAACGTTATTCTGTTTAAAATAAATACTCTAATTGGAGTCTCTGTTTTTTGGAATGTGTAGAAGATGTTCAGCAATTTATATTTTGACACCTATCTTCCAGACTACTTTTCATGCCTGTATTCAAATCACTCAAACGTGTTTCAGTTCTTGCTTCGAAATCTGTTTGGAAAATTGCTTTTAGTCTGAAGAATTGCACAAATAATAAGATTACAACTTCAAAACTAAATCACATTCACAACAGCCTCAATGGTTTACTTCTATTCCTGGGTTCCAACACTCAACTGAGTCAGGGAAAATCAGGTTGCATTTTTGAAGCTACACTTGTATTTCTTCTTGTCCTCACAGGATTGTATTTATAAACGATTAATTCAGCAATTATTCTTATTTTGCCTGACAATTTCAGCAAACCAATCACATTATATTTTTGTACAAACTAACGTTCTGACTTTCATCTCTATTTTTAAAATGGTCTCGGATTTGAGTCCATTTTTTTGGAATGTCACGAAGATGCTCAGCAATTTATATTTCTACAGTTACCTTCCAGGCTATTTTTTACACCTGTATCGAATCACTCAATGCTGTTTCAGTTGCTACTTCGAAAGCTGTTAACATACATGTTTGCAAAATTACTTGCAGTCTGAAGAATTGTACATAACATAAAATTGCAACGTCAAAGTTAAATCACATTCTCAGCAGGCTCAATAGCGTACCGCTGTTCCTGTGTTTCAAATCTAAACTGAGTTAAGGAGAATCAGTCTGTATTTTGGCTGCCACATTTGTATTTCTTCTTGTCCTCACAGGATTGGGAATTCTGCTTGTGAAATATAAAACTTTTGAAAAAGTTCTTATGTGGTATAAACATGTAAACATGTATACCAACATATGAAGTTGACTGCCATTCTGAAATTCATTTTGTCCTGAATTCATTCTCAGATTTGAAAGTGAAGAATGAACTCAATGGAATTTAATTGCTGACTGTTTATCTTCCTGCGATTATGTACACATTTTTCTTGAAAATTAATGATCGTTTATCAATAGATTTAGTTTGCAAGTTGTTGCAGATTTCTGATTTCAATGTCTAACTTAAGTATTTGTAAGCACTGATTCCAGCTATTAATTTTTCCTTTCGCCCAACGATTCGAGCACACTCATCACATTATATTTTTTGCCAAAATCTGTGACGACTGTTGTTTTTGTTTTGAAAAAAATTCCACATTCAGTGAAAGATTTTACTATTTCTGAGCGTTGAGAAGTAATTTCATAATTTATAATTTTACACTTACCTTTTAGATGATTTTCTAAGTATGTTTTCGAAACACTCATATCTGATTCATTTCTTACTTTTTCCACAATATCCGGCGCCTTGATAGTTTTGCAAACACTGAATTCATTATCAATTCATCGTCCAGTACTATAAAGTGAACATCTCACTGAACAAGTACTGTTCTATCTGTTGGTATGCATAATATTCTGCTGCCTATAAGATATACATGTATTCACCCTGTCTCATACAGTCCTTCCTTCAACATTGCGGAAAATAGAACACATGACCCTACATCCCTTTTGGTCTTTGCAAAGTCATTTGCTTGTTCAGTTCTGAGGAAGGATCCCTCAACCTGAAATGTTAGCTCTGATAACTGTCTAGAAATGCAGCCAGACCTGCTAAGCTTTTCCAGCAATTTCTGTTTTTGTTTCTGATTTCTTTTTCTCCATGAAATTGTGACCAACTGGCCTATCTATCAAATTAATATGTGATATAACGAGTTACCTCAGGTGGATTGGTGACCAGTTATTGATACTAACATTCAATTCTTCCACCAGCACAGATTACAATTGCAGGGCTCACTTTCTCAAACTCTCCTCTTGTCTAAGGTGTAATTACCCTCTGGTCACACTACCACCAGTCAATGTTCCCAATTGTGACAGCAGGACAGTGATGATGTTACCTTTACACTGAGATTGATCGGTCCCTTTAAAACTTTCAAATCCTTTCATTTATTGATCATTCCACTCCCACTACCCTTCAAACGTTCCCTCAATGTATTATCTCAAACTGTATAGATAGCTTAAAATAATGCGAATAAAAACTGATTACCATGGAACCCAAAATTAAGTAGCATTTAGCGAAATACTGATGCTACTTTTCATTTCTTGTCATTTTGATATCTGCGGCACATTTCCTTTCACAATACTCTTTACTAGCTCTTATATAAGCTACTTTATGCCTTTTTACTGGTCTTTGTATCTTTTCCCAATCATGAGGATTTTTTTTTTTTTTTTGCACATTTAGCCTGGACATACGAAATTGATTTTCACTATGACTTTTTTCTTTCCTGCTCTCATTCTCTGGTGAGAAAGTGAAGAATAAACTCCAAGGAATTGAATTACAGACTATATGTGGCCCAGCAGTCATTGGTCACGTGTATCCAAAAATTAGTCATCCCACCACAAGGATTTTGTCAACATTGTCTTAAAAGTTTCTACTTTCAATGGTTTCCGAAAAATTTGTCGGCAATAAGTTCAGAAAGTTTGTATTTTGTCTACAGTTGAAGTGAACTAATCACAATATTTTTTTTTTTGCAGAAAGTAGCGTGCTGACTGTCATCTTTGTTTCGAAAAATACTCTAATTGGAGACTTTTTTGGAATGTCGAAAGATGTTCAGCAATTTATATTTTGACACTTACCTTCTGGATTATTTTTTACGTCTGTATTCAAGACACTCAAAGCTGTTTCAGTTCTTATTTCGGAAGCTGTTAACATATATGTTTGTAAAATTACTTTCAGTCTGATGAATTGCCAAAATCGTAAAATTACAACTTCAAAGTGAAGTCACACTGATCTACTTTCCCACGAGCATAGAATGTAAATTATTCGCAAAAAAAAAAGTAAGCAACTCTTCGTTGCCTTTATGTGTAACTTTAATGAGAAAAAAAAATCACTGGATTTGTCATGAGGCAAAAATAGATACCTTCTGTCAAACAGAAGAGCAATGGAGGGTTCCAGAATAATTCTCCCACATATACTCAAAATGGACCAACTTTTACCTTCCAGTTCATTATGGAAAGGCTGCTTAAGATTGTAAACAGATTAATAAAAGGTAATGCTGCTGTTATTTCACTGTTTGTACCTTCAGCATCATTTCTTAACGAGGATTGTTCGAAAGACCCTTCTTCAGAAACTTTTCTGTGATTTTCTTTTTGCTTTGCATAGTGAGGAAAATTAAAGAGAATATTTCCTTGTATGGAAGGTATGATGATAACAATCAAGAAAATGATGTTTGTTATATTCTTTCCTGCAGTAGCTTCATGTCCTGTTAAAAAATGGGACATTCTTCTATCAGTCACCATTCATCTTGTTAATTTTAATTTCGCAATTAATTCAGACTGATTCATCTATTTTTTTTCCCCAGACAATGAGCAAGCTCAGATTCCAGGTTTGATCTAATGCGTCAGAATCACGTTTCTTCTCTTATACACAATCACTGATGAATTGGCAGGAATAAGTTCCTTTACATTTCAGAACAGCATTTGCAGAAAGAAACCTGTAAAATTGAGAAAACCATGGAGTTCATAGAAACAGCCATACACATAGAGACTGTTCTCATATATCTTCACCATGTAAAGTTCCTAACTAAAGGACAACATGCAGGTGTAGAGAGAGGCACAAACGTTTTTACTTTTGATGAAGAAAAGATGTTAAATATGTGTATGTAAAATGTAATAACAAATCCCAAAATTGCATGAAATTTTCAAGGAAATTTTAATCTAGTTGACATCCCATATACTTTAGAATTGAATTATATAACGCGAATTTCAGATGTGAGAAACGTTTATGTGAATGTTAGTTTCTATAAGCAAAAGCATACAGGATGAAGAGATGTGTTTCACAAATTAGCTTAAAGGTAGAATGAACGATAAAAAGATGTTCCTTATCATTGGAGTCACCCTCATGATTTTGAATTCTTGCAGTATTGTGTAACTTGGGAGATATCTCATTTAGGTCTTTTTTCAAAAGAGTGATTTTACCTTTCTCATCGTTTGCGGTTGCAACATCCATTTCTGTTCCGAGACCTAACAATATTGCAAACGTGAAGTGGAGGAGAGCTGTAATTTGCCGCTTCATTCTTTTGATCGCTGTAAATTATAGAGCACGACATGAACATTTGCATTCAAATAGTTATAAGTTCAGCATTTTCCAAATGTTACCGCTGCATGAAATTACATTTATTTCATTTCTCGCTCAATGTCAGTTTACATTTTAAAACCGCTGGCTTCTTAGCATCGATTTTTTCCATCTGTCAGATTAAAATCAAGACAGGACTTTTCAAAAAGACCATAGCTGACATTATTGTTTTCTCAAACTCCATTTTCCAAATCGCTTGACTAGTTTTCTGTTCAGATAAGTGAACACAGCAAAACCTTGAACGGATTCCATCACAGAAGATCCACTTTACGCTGAGAAAGAAAATTCCATATTCTTAAAGAAAACGTTACACCACATCGTTGTGTTTATCTCAACTCCAGCTTCCCTAAAGAGTTTAAACGTCTCATTATCATTCACCTAGTCTATTCCCTGCAGAATCATGTAATTTTGGTAAGACTGAGGGTGGAACCTCCCAACATTCAATGGATGCGACTCAATATTCTCAAACATTTCTCATGGGATTAAGGGGCAGCAAAACCCACATCCCCCAAATGTGTGTAATATTGACAGCAGAAGGGAATCAAGCCATAATTACGCGTGAGCGTGTGTATCAATTATCAGCATCTCGGCTTTTTTTTTGTATATGCAGCCTGAACGTTTCAAATTGACTGGCATTCCTACATTTTTCATTCCTGCTCCCATTCCCTGGTTAGAGTGAAGAAAGAAATCCAAGGAATTGAGTTACAAACTCTACATGTCCCTGCAGTCATTGCTCACATTTATCCAAAATTAGTCATAACACATCAACAGATTTCATTAATAATTTCTTAAAAACTTCTACTTTCAATAGTTTCTGAAACAATGGTAAGCAATTAATCCAGCGACTATTTTTCTTGTGCATCACAATGCCAGCGCATTCATGGCATTTTTGTTTGCAAAGCGTCATGTGCTAACTGTCGTCATTTTTTTAAAAAATCTAATCAGCATCTAAGTTTCTTTTTGAACGGTGAAAAGATGTTCAGCAATTTACATTTTAACACTTAGCCGTCAGAATATCTTTCTCGCCTGTATTCGAATCACTCAAAGGCGTTTCAGTTCTTACTTCATAAGCTGCTAACAAAAATGTTTGCAAAATGTCTTTTAGTCTGAAGAATTGCACAAATCATAAAAGTACAACTTCAAAGTTAAAACATGCTCTGCTTCTTTTTCATTGATATAGAATAGAAAGAATTCACTAAACAAAACTAGTCAACACTGACTTGTCTTTATACGTAACTTTAAAAGAAAACAAAAATCTCACTGGGTGCCTCATTTGTTATGAGACAAAAGTCGATACCTTCTGAAAAATGAAAGAGCAAAGGAGAGTTTGGGAATAATTGTACGACATGTACTCAAAATTGACCAACTTTAAGGTGTCAAATCATTACCTAACAGCTGCTTATGACTGTAAACAGGTTGAGTAAGGGGAATGCTGCTCTTATTTCACTGTTTGTCCCTTCAGGATTATTACCTTGCGACGAACGTTGGAATGGCTGATTTTCAGAAGTTGGTCTGTGATTTTTATTTGACTTTAAATAGTAACGAATGCAAATTAATAAAATTATTATGGCAGCAATGAATAAAGTGATGTTTCCTTCATCCTTTCCTACAGTAGCTTCATGTCCTGTAAAAAAATGGAACATGCTTCGATCAGTTGTCATCCATGTAGTTTATTTAATTTTGCATTTATTTCAGACTCGTTCTTTTTTGTTTTTCTTTTTGGTCAGTGTTTTGACCAAGCTCAGAGTCTTGATTTTAGTTAGTGGCTCAGAGTCACTTTCCAGCTGATGTACACACTCATGCATGGATTACGAGGCATAGGTTCCTTTTCATTTCAGACCAGAATTTGTAGGAAGCAAACCTGTAATATTGAGAAAACCATGACATTCGTAGAAACACCCATACGCATGGACGGTGCTCATTTGCTTTCACCACATAAATTTCCCAAACAAAATCACACGCATGCAGAGAGAGGCACCTACCTTCTTACTGATGAAGATCATGCATCGTTAAACACTTGTACAGAAATTTAACATCAAAGCAAAAAATAAATGAGATTTTCAAGGAAATTTTAATCTGGTTTACATCCCACATATTTTAAAATTGAATTAGATAACGAGAAACTCAGAAATGGAGATTTTCGCTTGTATATTAGTTTCTGCAAACAAATGCATACAGGATGAAAATATATGCTTTAAAAATTAGTTTAAAGATAGAATCTTTGATTAAGAAATGGGATTACATAGCATTGCAATCACCTTCATGATTCTGAACATCTGCAGTTCTGGATGGTTTGAAATCTATCCCATCTACATCTTCATCTTTTTCATTGCATGAAGTCCCAGGATCTGTTGTTCCTATGCACGAATGTATTACACACGTGAGCCAGAAGAAAGCTCCAATTTCCCTCTTCATTCTTTTGATTACTGTAAACTATAAAACGAGACTTCAATGTTGGTATTCAAATATTAATATACCGAGCATTTCCCAAATGTTACTGGTGCATCAATTGTGTTCCAAATTAATGGTCCATTAATTTCATTTCTCCCACAACATCAGTCTAAATCCTGTTCCCATTAATCTCACAGCATTGGTTTTTCCATCTGTCATATCAAGATCAAGAGAGGGTTATTCAGAAAGGCCATAGCTGACATTATTATTTTATCAAGCTTCATTTCCCAAATTATTTGACTAGTTTTCTGTTCAGATACATAAACACTGCAAAGCCTTGAACATATTCCAAGACCCAGCATCCGTAGTCTTGAAAAATACCTCTTCCAATTTTATACCGTATCTTTGAGTTTATCACAACTTCAGCTACCCAAAGAGTTTAAACATCTTATTGTCATTCACCCTATCTATTCCCTTCAATATCGCATCTTTTGTTTTCACTGTAAGTGAAACCTCCCAACATTCAAAAAATGTGGTTCAATATTCTCAAACATTGCCTGAGGGATTAACAGCCAGCAAAACCCACAAATGTGTGTAATATTTACAGTCCCCAATAGTGCGTGCGTGAGACAGAGAGAGAGATAGATTATGTGTGTGTGTGCATGTGTGTCTGCAGATGGTAGTGGCAAGGGGTGAAAGCTAGGCATGATGAATAATTGCATGTTTATTTTTGATTAAAGTTTCAATGCACAATAGCCCGCCAATGTGGTAATGTCGGAGCCACATACCACTGACAGTAAACTGTATGGTGTTGTTAGATTTACTGCTCATGCTAGGTGTGGATAGTAACTCATATCGTTTCAGAATTGCGTCAGCCTGTTTGTGTAATGGTATAAAATAAGTACTTTCTTACCATTGTATTTGTAGAGAGTTCAAACTTCGGAGTGAGTCCTGGACACCCTCCCCTGTATCTACACTTGAACAAAGTTCTCAAGCGCTGCTTTACTTCGCTGACTCCGAGTCTCTGACTGTCTTTACAGAGGTCACTTTTATAAGGGTATGATCGCCCTGCACCCTTTTCCAGCGGACCATGGAGAACATTTTACAACAGCTACACCAGATCGGTATTTACCTGGATGACGTGCTAATAACCAGGAAGACCAATAAAAAGCATTTGAAGAACTTAGACATCGAGACCAAACCTTTTTCCCCCAAATTACTGTACACCTTAGAAGAGGGAACAATGTGTGTTTCAGGCACCCCAAATGACATTCTTGGGCTACAAGGTTTACAAAACCGGGTTGGAAGAGAAACGTGCCCTGGCTCTCGTAAGTGTACGGGAGCTTCGGTCGTTCCGTGGGTGAGTGAATTATTTTCGAAAATTCACACCATAATCTTGAATCTATCTTGCCCCCTCTTCACCTGTTATTGGGTTATATCATCAATGCACTTTCTTGTAAAATAAATTTCAATAATTCTCGTTTCAAGTGTACGATAAACACCTGAGCCTGCCAAATTTTGAGAATGGCAGCATTAATAATTGTTGCTGCCTCCACAACGTATATTTAAACAAAGTAACTCGGCTGAACACAATCCAGGACTTACCTTATGTTGAAGTTTCTGATTTCTTCTAAAATATCCCCTCTCATAATTACCCTTGGCTTAAACAGCGTTTGTAACAGTGTGGTCACAAAGACGACCTTCAACCTGATCAGTTAAAGACTCTACAACACCCGCTTCCTGATTCTGAGATTTATCTGGATCTTACACACCTCAATATAACACAAATTAAGCATTGGTTCTATGGAACAGAAGTACATTATGAAAATCACTGGCACCATTTCAATCATCTCAATTTCCAACACAGCAAACAGCGCAGAGAAAATTACCTAGATCGCTGTGATGCAGGAATCAGGCTACTTTGTATCTAGTACTGAGCAATAAGATACACTTAATAAATGATTGTGCCGTGAAACAGCCCCGAATGCAGTGACTGTAAAATGGTTCAAATTTAGCATTCAGGTCCAGAGCGGGAAATGAGGTTTAGAAATAACGATGCTAATCTTTATCGAGTGTAATTACAAAGGAACAATGATAAGGTGGATTGGGAAAGGAATTTAGCACAAAAGACAGTGAGAACCAATAGTAGATGTTTTACAGTTAATTACACTAATATAACCCAATGAGGGTTCTAACTAACTAGATAAGTTAAGGATACCATCACATTTTTAAAAATTGTACGAATAGCAAACCGGGATTTGCATTAGTGTTAAAAAATCAACAAAAGACTACAAAACAGTGATAAAGAGGAAGACAGGAAGCCTGGTGGGTAACAAAGGAGCAAAAGTAGGCCATTCAGCCCTTCGAGCCTGCACTGTCTTTAAGTAGGACAGCAACAGATCACTAGTTGATAGAGTTCACAGAATTGTGCAGCATGGAAACAAACCCTTTCGCCAAATTCGTCCATGCCAAACAAGTTTCCCAAATTGAACAAGTCACATTTCCCTGCTTTTGGTTCACAAATCCTCCAAATCTTTCCTATTCATGTACCTGTCCAAGTGTCTTTAAAATTACGTAGTTGTACCAGACACCCCCATATCCTCTGCAGCTCGTTCCATATCCGCCCCACCCTCTTTGTGAATCAAAGAATCCTTGCAGTGGGGGAGCTGGCCTTTTGGTCCCTCAAGTCCACAACAATCCTCCGATTAACGTTCCCATCCCCTATCCCTGTAAACCTGCATTTCCCATGGCTAATCCACCCTATCTGCATATCCCTGGAGAGTATGAGCAATTTAGCATGGTCAATTCACCCAACGTGCATACCTTTGGACTGTGGGAGGGAACCAGAGCACCTGGAGGAAATCCACTGGGAGAATGCAATAACTCCACACAGACAGTTCATGGTTCATAGAATCCCTACAGCGTGGAAACAGGCTCTTCGGCCCAAGACCGACCCTCATAGCATTCCACCCAGACCCATTCCCCCCTATAACCCACTCCTCCCTGAACATCATGGGCAATTTAGCATGGCCAATTCACCTAGCCTGCACATCTTTGAACTGTGGGAGGAAACTAAAGCACACGGAGGAAACCCACACAGACACGGGGAGAATGTGCAAACTCCGCACAGACAGTCGCCTGAGAATCGAACCCTGGACCCAGGACCCTGGTGCTGTAAGGCAGCAGTGCTAACCACTGAGCCGCTATCACGCCCATCAGGTCTCTTTTGAATCTTTCCCTTCCCACCTTATATCTATATTCCATAGTTTTGGACTCCCCTACCCTGAGAAAAATACTTTGTCCATTCACCTTATCTGTGCCCCTCATGATTTGTTGAGGTTGTACAGGACATTGGTGAGTCCTCTTCTGCAGCACCTTTGCAGCTCTGTATGCCCTGTCGCAGGAAGAATAATCTCTCTTGGACTTACTTAATGACATAGGTTCTACAGACTTCTGGAAGAGAGAATTTTAAAGGTTCGCCACCCTCTAAGTGTGCTCACCTCAATGATAAATCGCTTGCGTTTCATTGTGATACTCTGTCCCCAGTTGTGGACCACAAAGACTGGTGAAACATACTTTCCACACTCTTTATACCATTCCCAACTTGAGATCGCCTCACATTCTTCTGAACATCCCAAACAATAGAGACTCCGTCTCCTCGATCACACATAATATGATCGTGCCACCATCCCAGGAATCTGTACGGTTCACCTCACTCCCACTGTGGCAAGTGTGTTCTTTTCAAGATAAGGGGAGTAGCACTGCACATAGTACTCCTGATGTGGCCTCAACAGTGTTTTATACAATTGAAGCACAATTTCTTTGCTACAGTTCTCAAATCTTTTTGCAAGAAAGGAGAACCTAATTTTGCCTTTCTAATTCATTGCTCAACCTGGCAAACCAGCTTCCTGTGTGTTACAAACAAGGACACTTTAGGACATCTACATTTTCTAATCTGTCATCATTTCATAAATACTCCACTCATTCATTTTTCCCAACCAAAGTGGATAACATCTCAGTTTATCCACGTTATAGTCCATCTACCGCCTCTTGCTCACTCTCTAATCTCGAGTTGACGGATTCTATTGTAAGTTTGGTCAAGTTTTCATGGTGGGAGTACCACTTTCCAGAGTCGATGGTCAATGTGAGTACTTGCTGCCATCTTAACAAGGACTGTACGGCTCTCCACACCGACCAATACTGTCGATAATGTATCGTTGGCAGCTAAACTGTTGAGGGCTGGGTCAACTCGATTTCATCTTCTTGATTCTCTACACTCAACAAATTCCACTGTTATCTTGCACAGCCTGGAAATTAGACAGCTCGTCCTATTGTGGTGCTACCCTAACTACATTTGCTGATGGGTGCTGAGTTCCCTCCAATAGCTCTCAGCCCTTCCTCCAGCTGGTTAACAACACAGAAAAATACGGAGTGAGGTTTGGTCAGGTAATCAGAAAAGATTTCCTTGCCCATGAGATTTCATAGGTCTCCGAGTCCACAAAGTGGATTCGCTGGGCACCTGATTCCTGATTGCACAGTGGGTTGGCATCACCTCTGGAGGGTAAATCCTGTCACTGGGCGTAAACATACCCAGGAATGGTGGGTTCTGCTAAGAAGGCTGTCAGATAGGATTCAGATTTAATGGGTGTAGCAGGCTATTCAGTAATGAGTCTGGGAGATGAAGGATTATCGGTGTAGATCCGGGTGCCTCGGTTGATGACAATTGATCCATTGAGTTTAATTATTTTTATTGGACTTTGTAGACGTTTGACACAACAGCTGCAGTCTCATCATTTTTGTTGCTAGTTATATGTAGGCAACAAGTAAGGCTTGCAGATGTACTCCATTAAGGGACATTATTGAGATAGTTTTACAAAATTCAACAATGCTCATTATTATCCACATTTGTTTTAAAAAAAGGTTAATGAGAATTTATTTATTTCGTTTTTTTTATTATCGAGTAATTTGGAACCTTGTTGCCAGAAGATTTGAGTGGAGGCCCAGAATGCTATTTCCTCCACACAACTCTCTTAAACTGCCTGCATGTGCACATGGTACACAGTCTGTCTGCCATTGTGCAGTTACGTTGTTTCAGAGAACATGGGTATAACATTCTTCGCCCTAACTCATACTGCTTTGTCAATATGTAACAAATGTGATCCTTCATTAGGATTTCTGTAATCCTGGTTATCAAAAAACAACTTTAGGTACTGGAAGCCAAGGGCCATCTCGACTCTGACAAATGTAATTGGATTCCATTGCCTTTCCGTTTGCATAGCATTAACATTAAAAAACAACATCTTCGCCTTTTTATGTGGCATCTTCATAGCTTGACTACTTGCTGGATGGCTGCAACTTATTTTTTTTTCTGCTTGTTTAACTCATTTTTCTCAACAACCTGTTCATAGATGGCATTACACACCTCCGTAGCATGTAAGAATTGAACCCAGTCCAACTAGTCGTAGGGTAGGAACACTATCACTGATAACCAAGGTCCCCTTTCTTTGCAACTTATATGCACCAATTGATAATCAGAATATGCTGATTGGGAAGTCCTCGCTTCATTCCATTGAACGAAATGTAAGATTACCAGTCAGCACACATAAAAAAAAAAGTAATGCTTAATTCCTTCAAAATCCCAATGTGAAGGTTTCATTCTAACATCTGACCTGATGTTTGGATCATCGTTTTGACTGATAAATGTTACTGCTGCAATGTGATTCTTGTTTCATGAATTCAAATCTTTTCTATGATTAACGTCTCACATTATCAGGAGCAACAACGTTCATCTCTTTACAATGCATACTTCGAGTAAAGCTTAATCATTAAATAGCATAAAAGTCAGCAATATGGTTATAAAGATGACCTTCAGCCAGGCGAGCCCAAGTGCTCCCTTCTGTAATTTCCTGACTATGAGCTCGACTTAAACACATTGTACCATTTGGGCTTGAAATCTTTTGGTCTAGTGTTGGTAACTTAACCGAAACAAAAGCCAAAATGTCCAAATGCCATTTTTCTACTTCCATTTGCCATTGGGCGCAAGGCAAATTGTTATGTGCCTGCAAGCAGCACTAATCTTTAATCCTGAATTTTAGGATACTGATAACTGTATGTATATTTATGAACAGATTGTCAAAGAGCACAGATAGCAAGGGGCAAAGATCACTTGTAGTTTAAAAACATTTAGCTTAACTGAAGCAGTAAAGAAGAGAAAAGTACACATGAAACTAGTGAAATTAATATGTTCGTTGATTAGAATGACTTTACTTTTAGATAATTCTATTTCTTTTAATTCGCTTTCAATCGTCTGAATATATTACTCATTGGACCATGAGGGAACAAGCACATCAATGCCTGATAGACCCAAATTCCCTTAACAAATTTATCTTGATCAATCTGTCATGTTATTCTGCTTTTTGTTCTTTTTTCCCGTATGTGCATTTGTGTGTGTGTGTGTGTGTTAAAGATTTTATTTTAGAAGCAGGATGATAAGTTCTGCTGGTTTCTATTCTCCCCGTACCACATGTTTTTGCTTGACCAAGAAGTGAAATTACTCAGGTGTATTTACTTCATGATCTCTGTGATAATCACTGCTTCAAATATCACGACGATGTTGTTCTATTTTTCGGAAATGGATAAAAGTGATGTAGTTCAGCCTTTTCTCGAAGCATGGCTTGTAAGTTGTATCTGTCAGAGAATGAGTAACAGAAAGGACCCTCAGGGATTTATTTATGAACTGGGTTTTTCCACAGGGGAAAATAAGTGATAAGCAGCTATTTAATTATTCATTCAGTTTAAAACCTTTTGGATTCAGTCTGAAAGAAACCTCTTTGAAGTCAGACCAAATATAGCCTCTGTGGAAACACGGCAGCTGTTCAGAGCAGTAGGAACTGCAGATGCTGGAGAATCCGAGACAACAAGGTGCAGGGCTGGATGAACACAGCAGGCCAAGCAGCATCATAGGAGCAGAAAGGCTGACGTTTC